TTTTTTTTTTTTCGTTGCTCTTACCTTTTGGGCTTTTTGTGTTTCTCTCCTCCTCTGCATATTGCCGGCGATAGTGACGTTTACAGACGTACTAGCCTCCACTAACTCTCCTAGTTGTATCAGCTTGGGTGAATAGAAAATAAAGAAAAAAAAATAAAATAAAAAATAAAATAAAAATGTATGCAGGCTCGATGCTCACTTTTTATAAAGACCCCTACTGCAAACTCCCTGTCTTTGTGATGGGAGAGAGTGCCCGACGCTGCATCTTGTGGATCGGGGGGCAAAGTGAGTCTTTCCTCACCTTTGGCTACTTCCCAGAGCTGGTGAACATGCTTGAGGGGGAATGGCAGTTCGCGCAAATGGAGCTCGCGAGCAGCCGCGTCGGGTACGGGGCGCAAGACCACGTTCACGACGCTGAAGACGTGGACGATCTTCTCGACATCCTTGTGAAGGAGTACGACATGGAGGAGGTTGCCCTCTTCGGGACGAGTACAGGGGCCCAGGTGGTGTTTGAACTACTTGAGAACGGGCGCAACGTCGAGTTCATCACCCGCGTCATACTGTACGGAGTGGTGTGCGATCCCGAGGTGCCGCTCTTCACCCCAGAGGGCGAGGCCGAACGCAAGGAATTCGTTGCGAAGCTCATTGCAGAGGGTCGACATGAGGACTCCCGCGCGATGGTAAACCAGTACGATATCCCCGTCACCCCTGCCCGTCTCGCCAGCGGGGGATACCCGACCCTGCAGGAGGCTGTATGGTGCCCCTGCTTCCGCAACGACACGGAAACGCTGCGAAAGACACTCGGTCTGATCAAGGTGCCGCTACTACTCATGTTGGCGCACCATGCCCAGTACAAACCCGCCGCCGAGGAGGTCGACCGCGTGATGGAGCTTGTCAAGGAGCACACGGGGTGTACACATGTAACAGTGAGCTATTTCAATGATACCTGTGACGAGCGGAGACGTGTGCTAAAGGCAGCGGAAGCTGAGCACGTTGAGGCCATCGTACAGTTTATCTTCCAAGAGGAAGAGAAGCGCAATAAGCAACTGGAACAGCAAAAAATAAAGGCCGTCGAGGATGAAAAAAAACGAAAGTCGGTTTTGCAAGCCTCAGCGTTTGCCCAAAATGTAATCAAATCCACCGCAGCGTAGTTTATTTATATATATATATACATATATATATATATATCTGATGGACACTTATTTTTTTTTCCATCCACTATGTAAATTAAAGGGAACAATCCTTTTTTTTTATTATTATTATTTCATTTGTTTCCTAACAATGTCCTGCCCGTCGTTGCGAGCTTCACTGGGCGTCTTTCCGTGTATGTATTTATTTCTGTGTGTGCGTGTGTGTCATCCCCCGAGCGGAAAGAGACACGTCTCCAGGTGCGCATCAAAATAGGCGGTGTTTTTTTTTCCTTTGGTTTCTTCTTGCTTTTTGTTTTTATCTCTTGCGCCCCTTTTGGCAATTTTTATTATTTTCAATCTTTTCCTTGCTTCTTGCTTGCCCTCATCTCTCTCTCTTTCCTTCTTTCTTTCTCTTCGGCATCGAGCGAACAGGGGCGGCTGGGGCGTGTGCAGACAATGTCTTACGCGACCGACGATGCGCCCACGACCGTCCGTAACCTCTCGCAGGGAAGCAGTGGTGTGGACTGCCCCGGTGAGGCGGAGATGCGGCCGGCGACAGAACCGCCGGCGTTGGCGCATTATCCGTTGGGCTCCTGGGAGCGCCATCTGCTGGAGGAGCGACTCCGGGCCGTGAAAGTCTACGAGCGGGAGAGATTGTTGCAGGAGGAGCTGAAGAAGGAGTGCACCTTTCAGCCCCGCTTGGGCACGCCACGCGGCCGTGAGAACGAGCCCCCCAAGGATTTCGTCTCTGCAGGACACAAACAAAGACATGTGCCTGTATTTGAGCGTCTTGCGCACCGTGCGAAGGAGCGTGAGGCCAGGCTAACGTTACTTACTGAAGAAAAAAGGCGAAGTGAGGAGGAGGCATTGCAACATGCGTTCCGCCCGCGGGTGAACTCCGTCCCGGAGCAGCTTGTACCGTTTGCCTCAAGTGAGGCGAGGATTCCTGTGGAGGAGAGACTGCTGCACTATGGCAGGTCCGTTGAGCAAAGTCGTCGTCTGTTGCAGCTACAAAGGCAGCAAAAGGAGATTGAAGAGTTGCGTCAAAGAGCTGCGGTCCGGCGGGCCCACAGCAGTGCTTCAGGGGAGAACCCCCAAAGTGACATTGCAAAACGTTCCAAACGGTTCCTTATAGAGCGTGAGATGCAGCGTGCGGTGGCACGGCAGGCCTTGCTTAAGGAGCACAGCTTCCGTCCCAAGGTGTGTACCACCTCGGACGCCATTGATCGTACGTTGAAGGCGAATAATAATGTGCGTGACCGTGGTTTAGCTCTCTATGAGGAAGGTATGCGTCGTCAGCAGCAGCGTCAGGCGGAGACGGTGCAGCGACAAGGAAGAGAGTCCAATGGCCTGTACAAGCCTACCACCAACCCGTTTACGGAGAGGTGGATTCACCATGGACAGCATAGAGGTTTATTCCGGCAAGATTTTGTTAGAAGACAAAAGATTTATCAACGTGTCAAGGAGGAGCATCAGCGAAACCTCATTGCTGCCCTTGAAGAGGGTGAACGTGCCGAGGTGCCACGGGTCAGCCAGGCGATGATAGATCGACAGGTAGAGCGACTCTACCTGGGCGCGCAGGAGATGCGAACCGAGGCGAAGAAACGCCTGGAAGACCATGTCAAGGCTCGCGAGTGTCCTTTTCGCCCGCAGTTGGCACCTGGAACCGCCTACGTTATTGCCCGCACCCAACGTGAAGCGGATGTGGTGAAGCGGCTCGCGTCTGCTCCCCGTAGCCGCCACGCCGGTCATCAATCTATGTTTGACGCGGCCTCTCTGGAGGGAAAAGAAGAGGATGGAGGAAACGCACCACGCAATTCCAAAGTTATCCATCCAGAGGCGGCTGCTGAGTTTTATGACCGACAAAGGCGGGCCCTGGAGGAGCGAGAAGCGCAACTACGCGAGCAGAAGCAGCGACTAGCGATGGAGGAGCTCTGCGCCTGCACTTTTCGCCCTCGGACCTGTACGGACGAGTACTTGCATCGGCGCCAAGTACAAGCCACCCGTGTTACGCAGCAGCCGGTGGAAGCACGCGTGTCAGGGGTGGCGGCGTATTTGCAACGCCAGGCTGAGGCGCAGCGACGGCTCCGGGAGCAGGAGTCGAGGTACAACAACCTCGGGCGGGGCCTTCGTTGCAACGGGGCCAACACCACCGTCATCACGCCGTTTAACTTGTCTAGCGGTCGTGGAACGCGTTCTCAGGGGTTGAGCCCGAGGTGGGATGAGCCGAAGACGAACGGTGGGGAGAAAGGTGGCGGCCACCGTCATGTCGACCCCTACAGCAAGAACGAAATTCTCATGGCACTTCGGGGAAAGCTGGCAGAGAGTCCTGCTAGGTCCCGTTTGCGATGAGGATAGTCAACAAAGGAAAAAACAAAAATAATAGGTGAGGGTGATAAAGGGAAAAAAAGGGGGGACAGGGGATGCAGATTCCTTGGAGCAGGCCTGGGTGCCTTCTATGGATGTCGTCTTCCTCAGTCTGCCACTGTTGTCACGCCAGCTTGCTTCACCTTCGCACCGCTGTTCTTATTGCTCCTGCTGTTGTTGTTGTTGTTTTTTTTTGGTGGTGGTGGTGATGTGGGGGGTTTGCCCTGTCACGCCTTTGAACACGCGCACATGTGAGATCCTAAGCCTAGTAACGTATGGCGACGCTCTCACAGGCCAGACTTGCCGGATGGGCTTCACGTTGGCTAACAGACGAACTCGTCGCACTCTCTAAAGCGGGTAATTGGGAAAGCGCCATGGCCACATTGACGCAACTGCAACAGGCAAACATAGTGCAGAGCAATGTGTTTCACTACACCACCGTTATTAGTGCTTGTGGCCGCGCAGGGAAGTGGGAGGCGGCGATGTCTGTCTTCACACGCATGGTGAAGAGCGATGTGAAACCTAATGTTTACACTTACACCGCCCTTATTAGCGCATGTGCCGCTGCACAGAAGCCGGACGTTGCGCTACGGATGTATGCTCACATGAGGCTGGCAGATGTTGCCCCGAATGTGCGGACAATGACGGCGTTGGTGACTGCGTGTGCCCGTGCTGGGCAATGGGAGAGGGCTATAAAAATTTTGCGGGAGTGCGATGAGCTTTGCATCGCACCCAATGTCTTTACATACACCGCTGCAATCGAGGGGTGTCATCGTGCGGCGGCCTGGAAACCCGCGGTGGAGCTTCTTAATGAGATGCGCAACCCGCTAAATGTTCGTCCAAACGAGGTCACATACAATACCGTGCTCGGTGCTTGTGCCGCGGCCTCCGCCTATGCGCCGGCGCTGAAGGTGTATGCAGCTATGGTAAGTGACGGGTATATGCCAGTGTTGTATACAAAGACACTTTTGACGGAGCTGTTTAAGAACACCGCCCTGGACGGGCTAGCGGATGACTTGGAGGTGCGCAAGAGTAAGTGGCGCGAGGCAAATGCGCCAGATTCAGATCCTGCTGCCATCTCGGAGCTGGTCCGTGAAGAGGAGGCCGAAGAAGCGCATGACACTGCGGCAGCAAAGGACACTCACGACTGCAACGATGCTGCGGAAGCGAAAGGAGAGTAGCGGCTTTGTGTAAAGAGGAAGATTCCGCAAGGACAAGCAAACCGACAAGAAAAAAGTGGAGCTGGTGAAATGTGATTGGCTTCACTCTGATTCTTTTTGCCGTTTTTTTTGTTCCGTTATCCCTATGTGGATTGGATGTGCCTGTGTGCGTCGCTCTCTTATTCTTGGTGAACGGCATTGACCGCAAACATCTCATTCTCTTTACCTCCTGCCCCGTTGCGGCGCCTTTGTTTTTCATCAACATCTGCCTTTGCAAAAGTGCGAGGGAGTTGTGACGCTGCGGCGAAAGATGCAGAGCGGCGTAGGCGAGTTGGTGTGGGAGAACGCCCACACCGCACGCGAGATGCGAGGTGTGGCTCTGCTTGGCGTGCCACAAACGACAGACCCCGGTTGGGCCATGCGAAAACACGCACTCCTTCGCGCAGAATACCCGCAAAGTGCGCCGCCCCCGGCCACCACAATGGAGGAAGGGGCTGAGGGAGGAAGTGGAAACGCGCTGATGCTTCTTCCAACTACAAAGCAGCGTGGTGAGAGTGAGGTAGCCATGGCGCCGAAGCGTGTGCGTGGGGAGGATGCTGTTATCTCCATCGATCCGAAGGTGTTGAAGAGCCGCATGACATCCGTCTCTACCGCAGTGGCGGGGGGCGAGCGGGAGGATGCGTATGTGCCGCCTCCAATGTGGAAGCTGTCAAAGGTGTTGGTGGGCCACCGAGGCTGGGTTTGGTGCGCCGCGGTAGAACCAAATAACTCGTGGTTCGTAACAGGTGGTGGCGACGCCGTGGTGAAGGTCTGGGATCTTACGACGGGGGTGCTTAAACTTAATCTTACAGGGCACAAGGAGGCCGTGCGGGCTGTCTCACTGAGTACGCTGTCACCCTACATGTTTAGTGCGGGCGACGACCACTCGGTGAAATGTTGGGATCTTGAACGGAATGAAATTATACGGGACTTTCATGGACACAAAGGTTCCGTTCATTGCGTCAGTGCACATCCTTCGCTGGATATTGTGTTAAGTGGTGGAAGAGATAAAACTGTGCGGGTGTGGGATATACGCACTCGCTCCTGTGTGCATCTTCTTCTGGGCCACAATGACAGTGTCATGTCTCTAGCCGTACAACAGGCCGATCCACAAGTCATCTCTGGAGGGAGCGATGGCATGATTTACTTGTGGGACATCGCCTCCGGAATTGCCTTTACTCGCCTGACCCGGCACAAGAAACCTGTACGAGGACTTGCTATCAACCGTCAAGGAACATTGGCCTCCTGCGGGGCTGACCACGTCCGCGTCTGGTCCCTTCCAAAGGGGGAGTTTCTTTTCAACGCTCCCACGACAGCCGCTGGTGACGGTAACAATGATGAGGACGCGCCTGGGTACCGCTGGAGCTGCTGCGCCTTTAGCCCCCGCAATGTGCTTGTGGTGGGGAGCCAGGAGGGAAGGCTGGCATTTTATGACTGGGGGCATCCGCGTCGTCCGCCGTATCAGCTGGGAAAGACAAAGTCCGTTCCAGGCACGCTCCCCGGCGAAGGTGGCATTAACTGTGTCGTGTTTGACGCTTCAGGCTCGCGCATGATCACCGCGGAGAGTGACAAGAGTGTGAAGATCTGGCGCGCCAAAGCGTAAAATTGAGACACGGGGAAAAAAGAAACAACAACAACAAGAATGTAACGATGATGTCGAGAGAAAGAAGAAGAAAAAAAGAACGAAAAAGGTAGAGGATTCTTGGGTTAACCTGTTTGACGCTATTCTTGCCTCCTCCTTAAATGCGTGCTGTTTTTGCTTCTTTATTGCACCTTAACTTCTCGGAAAGCGGTAGGGACGGCAAACAAGTACGGTGGAACACATACACGGGGGAAAAAGGGGGGAGGGGGTTCCTTTTTTTCTTTTGTATTTATTTAGCCTCCTTTTTCTTTTCTGTCCGTAGAGGGGGAGAGAGGCATTTCTTTCTCTTCTTCTTCCTCACAGGGTATGACGGCGCCAAGCAATCCGAATCTGCTCCGCGTCCTTGTCGTTGGTGATACCGGCGTAGGTAAGACGCTACTTTTGCGGCGCCTGCGTCAAGTAGCTGTTCCGGGTGAAGACGCCTTCGGCTCCACATGGGGTCCTACAACTGGGTTTCATGTGGAAGTGGTTCTTGGCAACCACCAGCACACTTCGGCGTTTGCTTCAAGAGGTCAAATTGAGGCGCCTTGTGTTGCATTCATTGAACTCGGTGGTAATCGCAATTTTGGTCCCAGCAGTCAATTTCCCATCAGTCTCATGTCTTTTGACGGCGTCCTTTTCGTTTACGACGGGCAGAACGCCAACAGTGCGATTGGGCTTAGCTACTGGTATGAGGATTTGAAGAGTTACGGCGTCGTGGGGAATAGCGGGGGTGCAAAAGTAATGCTTCTTGAGACGGCGCTGTCGCAGTCGGTGATGAATACTGCAAGTGCCGCCGAGGGGCTTCCAGATGAACTTCTTGGGGCGTATCTGCAAAGAAATATCAAAGAGCCCCCGCTCTGGAGGCGAATTGTGCAAAAAGTCCGTGGTTCTGTCGCCCACTGGGTCGGTACCTCGAGGCTGAGTGTTAGAGACTTTCAACAGCAGCAGGGCAGCCTCCGTGTGCGAGTCGCTGTTCTCTGTTATTACTGGGCGTCAAAACTTGAAAACTTGTTGCTCTTTTTAGTGGCCGTGGTCCTCTTTGGACCATATCAGCAGGCTGTTCGACTGCGACGTCCATCGGTGGCCGAATCCCTGCTGATGATATCCTCTGATGTTAGTGGCACCCAAACAATCTTGTCCTGTCCTCTCTTTGAACAACTGGCGTTTGAGGCATCCGCTTTGGAGAAGTTGATGTCCTTTGTTGACTCACTGAGGCATGACTAACGTTTTGCCTGCGTATTTCCGTTCTCCTTTAAAACGGAAAATAAAAAAAAAAGGAATCTCATAACTCAAAACTTTATTTCCTTCTGTTGGAGGTGTGCTTTGTGTATATAGGCTGCTGCCACACATGTGGAGATACACAAGTGTGCTTATATGGCTTTTCCGTCATCCTCGTTTGGTTCAGTTTCTCTGGAGTTGCTTCTACTTCCACTATGTATTTCGTTTGTATATTTTCTTTTTCTTTCTTTGGGGTAGGGATTCTTTTTTCCCTTCCCCCCCCCTCCCCTCCTTTGCTTCTGCCGTTGCGTTGTAACTCTCGCCCTGAGTGTATGTGTGCAAGTTGGGGCGGGGGCCGAAACGAGTTGGGTCCTCGTGGTGGAACCCAAGGCGCAAGTAGGATTAGCGGCAAGGGGATGGACCCGGGATTGGCAACTTCGCCGCGGGTGTCGCCGGCGCTTACCTCCGTCATGGCGTACATGGGGCAACGTGTCCCGCTGGCTCTTGTGGTGGTTAGCCCCTCTGTCCGCTTTGAGGCGGAGCTCGTCGGGTACCTTCTCGGGAATGTTCATGTCTCGTGCCGTTGTCGCTCTTCCCGCAGCAGGCGGAGCCAAGGCCATGATGAGTTAGTGCTCAAGCTGGGCGTGTCTGACAGCTTTGAGCTACAGGCCCTCAACCTTTGGTGGTTCCAGAGGTATGGCGCCGTCTCGCTTGTGCTGGATCGCATTGATAGACAGCACTTCCCGTTATTTCAACGTCTCAGGAAAAGTTTGAATCTGCAGGAGGTGAAGCTGCTCAACTCGGTCGTGGCGTGTGACGTGATGCATGCCATGACGACATGCCGCGAGTTAGAGACACTCACGGTCCGCCAGTGCTTCAGTGACTCGGAGGTGAGTATCCGCGGGGTGACGCCGATCCTCAACAACCGCGCCACAGAGAAGCGTGAGGTCTCGAAGTTTTACATCTCCGGCGTCACAAGTCTCGGGGTCCTGTCAAAGCTGCGTCACCTCACCCTCTCCAGTACACCACTGAGTGAAACGATGATGCTGTATTTCTCCGAGTGTGTTAGTCTAGAGCGTGTTGTGGTGGATTCATGCCGAGGCCTGAAGTCGCTGGAGTGTTTTGCCTCCCTTCAAAGGTTGACGGAGCTGTGTCTACTAAACTTGGGCATCACAGAGGAGGGGCTCGTCCCCATCTGTCGTTGCACCTCACTGCAACACATCCAGCTTGATAATTGCATGAAGCTTCATAGCCTTAATTGCCTTGAACCCTTAGCTAGTCTGCGAACGCTCAATGTTGCACGGAACCGAGTTTCCGATGATGGAATCCGAAGTTTAGGTAACTGCAAGAATTTGGTGGAGCTCCGACTTGTCTCGTTGCATCGCCTGTCCACCGTGGAGCCGCTCTCGGCCCTTGATAGCCTGATTGAGTTGGACCTCACAGAGAACTGGGTCACGGATGTGGGCTGCGCGGCGCTAACGAGCTGTCGTCAGCTACGGCGCCTCAAGCTCGTGTCGTGTCGCTGCGTGTCGGATGTGCACTGGATTCGTGCCTTGACGTCCCTTCGGTCCTTGGATTTGTCAAGAACGCATGTGAGAAGCCCTGAGCTCCAGGTGCTGCGGGTGTGTGAGCAGCTGGAGGAGCTCCATGTTGTTTCCTGTAGCGGCGTAAACGATGCATCCTTTGTCGAGGGCTTACTCTCCCTTAGGCACTTGGATCTTGCTGATACCGGCTTAAATGATGCCGGGACGCGGCCGCTGCGACAATGTACGGCGCTGACTTTTCTCTCATTGCGGGATTGTCGCCTTGTGACGGATGCGCACTTCGTGGAGTCGCTGGTAAACCTGCTCAGCCTGAACCTGGAGGGCACAGAAGTGGTGGACGCCAACATTATTCCGCTGGTTCATTGTAAGCAGTTGGAGTTCCTTTCACTTCGTCACTGTCTGTTTTTGACCGACGTCCGCTGCTTGCGGGAGTTGAAGGCGCTCAGGTCGTTGGATATTTTTGGAACGTACGTTACCGATGAGGGGGTATCTGATGTCTCACAGTGCACCTCGTTAGAGCGGATTAACCTTGGTGCATGCTTCCTTATTACTCACCTTGAGTTCCTTCGCCCCCTGCGTGCGTTGAAGTATGTGACGGCGGATCGTACGAATGTCGTGGACGTGGCCGGTCTGGGAGGCAGCGGGTCCGTGCGGGAGGTGTCGCTTGCCGACTGCAAACGGCTCGGGTTGGTGGGTCCGCTGGAGGCCCCCCGCCTGCTGGAGCTTTTGCTGAAGAAGAGCAACATCACGGACGGCGGCATCCGCGGCCTCCTGGTGCACTGTCATTCCCTGCGACGTCTCGACCTGCAACATTGCCCCTGCATCACGGAGCTGAGCGCAGTCGCACAACTCCCTTCCCTTACAGAACTCCTGGTGCGGAATATCAAAATAACGAATGAGTCCATCGCCTTTGTGGCGCGCTGTGTGACGTTGGAGAAACTGGTGCTGGCGGAGTGCGTTGAGGTGACGGATGTAAATCGTCTCCAACACCTGCGCCGGCTGCTGGAGTTGGATCTCTCAAAGACAGGCGTCACCTCCAAGGGGATTGTGGGGCTGGCGCGCTGTCGCAGCCTAAATAAATTGAACCTCAGCGACTGCCGCTACGTGACGGACGTCAACTGTCTGGGAGAACTGCATCTATTGCGGGAACTTCACTTGGGGCGAACCACACTCTCGGACGACGGCATCGTGGGACTATGCCGCTGTTTACAGCTTGAAATCCTCACACTCACAAAGTGTAGCCAAATCAAAAACGTGGGAAAACTTCAGAACTCCCTAACTCGCCTGGTAACCTTTGACGTGTACGGCACCTCCGTCGAGGATTCTCGTCGTTACCTTGGTGTCGGCCAACGCATCCAGCATGCGTGTAATGTTTTTTAGGCCTGTAGAGGCGGCGGTGCGGTGACGGATGTCGTTGTAATTACTTTCTTTGCCTGTGACCATGTATCGCTTTGTCGTCAAAATGATCTGTGAAGAGGAAACAGCCACAAAAAAGTACAACAACAGGCACCCAAAGAAAAGAAAAATGAAGGAGTAAAAAAAAAAAAGAGCGAGCTCGGTGTTGGGGATTGCTGCCAATGACACGGTGCGCTACGCAGTGTCGCAGGCGATGTTTACACACGCCTGCCAGTTTGGGGGAAGGACGGGGAGACAGGGGTTTTCTTTTCCCGATTGCAGTAGCAAGGAAGCAAACACTTTTTTAAAACAGAGTTGTTGTTTTTCCCCCTTTTTTTATTTTGCGTGTGTTTCTTCTGCGCTACCGCGTTTTTTCTCTTTTCTCCCTCTTTTTCCACCGTACTCGACGAGCTCCCTCTCTCCCCCACCCGTGTGCCATCCGTGGGGGAGAGCGGGGGGGAAGCGTCCAGCGAGCTCCAGGTAAAATTTGTGTTCCATCGATGATGTGTGACTCCAGGGCAACCCCGAGGTTGCATGTGTCCTCCCCTCTCCTTTTTTTTTCCCCCTCACGACTGCCGCAAGGACGCGCACTCACAATGATGTTCTTTCTTTCTTTCTTCTTCCACCCCCCACCTCCCGTTTCTAATTCGCTCTATTTCTCTCTCCTCCTGTTCTTCACTTTACCTGCTATGCGGTTTACTGGAGTGGGTGGTGAGCTCCACCGGCACCCTTCCTCCACGTCTTAGGATGGAAATGTCAATTACAGTGCAGCTCGTCTTTGCACCTACGGGGTGCCAATTCCCGGTGGAAGTGAAGCACCAGAGGTCCTCCCCTGTGTTCACCAGTTCCTCATTGGCATCGTCGTCGCCGGGGAGTTTCTCCCAGTCGTCAAAGATCTTTGTCTCCGACATTGTGTCATGCGTCTACAGTTGTCAGGTCGCCCCACTACGCAATACGGAGACGGAGAGAAGTGGGAAGATCTACGTTGAGGTGTTTGACTACGCCACGCTGCGGCCCCTTTTAACCAATGAGACAGTGGTGGATGGACAAAAGTTGCTGCTCTTTGTGCCGACCATTGTGGCCGACTTGCTGGCCGAGCAGTTGCTCCACCAGCGTGGCCATGCTGTTGTGGGTAGCCAAAGTATTCATACAGATGAGGAAGAGCGCTGGAAGAACCTGCGTCAAGCGATTTTGGCGCTTAATGCCCCTCTAAAACTACATCAGGAGCTCATGGTAAAGGAGATGGGGTCCTGCGTTCAACTCCTTGAAGCTACCACCGCTCAGTTAAATGCGGCGAAGGAAAATATACCTCGTGTGCTAGGGGAACTGAAAGACATAAAGTTGTTCTATGACCCTGAAGTGCCACTAGCAACTCTTGCAGAGAGAAAGCACCTTGATGCTGCGGTGCAGAAGGGCGAGGCAAGACTGCGAGAGGCGGCGAAGATGCTGGAAAGCGTGCAAGCCATGGCTCCTGCTGTTATGGAAGCCAGCAACGCAGAAGCGAAACTCAGTGAGGAGGTTGAAAAAACATCGGCGTGGAAGAAATGTTCCCCAACTTTCGTGGATGGGCGTGAGGAGTCGTCTCTCACTGTATTGATGTACGAAGTCGACCGCAAGGTTCAGGTGGTGCTTGGCATTGTGGAGGAAATAGCTAAACTCACGAAGAAATTGCAACGGTGCAGGCACTACGCTTCTGCCGTTTTGGACCTTGTGGTGGAGCGACACAAGAAGCTGTGCCTGCTTCCGGAGGGAATGGAGGCTGCCAAAGAAGTGGTGCATCGCCGAATTATTTTACGACGCGCTATCCGTCGTGTGTTGGTGCCGTTGGAGGTCGAGTACCACGCAACGGAACGAATTATTCACAAGTTTGCAGAGAAATGGAGCCAATGGCTGCCGGACAATCTCTATAGGGCGGTGTCAACCCCTTTGCCGCCTTTGTATCCCCCAGATGACTTCATTGCGAACGACATGGACCGTCTTTTTCTTGATGTCGAAGATGATGAAACGGAGAAGCTGTTGGCTGCCATTGACGCGACGTCTTCGCCGCAAGGCAGAGGTAGTCACACGGCAGAAATGAGGTTAAGGGAAATGGAGGAAAAGCTGCAGCAGTGCAGTGCGGCGTTGAAGAAGGCGCAGAAAGAAAAGGAGGAAGTTGAGGAGGAGTTGAGGCAAATGAAGTCCTCCGCGGTATCCACCACACACGCCCCGTAGTAAGGAAAACGGGCGGTAAAAGGGGAAGCGAGAGGAGATGTGGAAACCTGCCACCTTTCGGTGGCGCCTGGGATACGTCTCGAAGAGTACGTATTCTCGTCTTCTTTTGTTTTTGTTTCTGGGAGTGTTTCTTTCTTCCTTTCCCTTCCACTCTGTTTTGAAGAGAATGGAGTGATGTCCTCTCTCTCTGTCCATGTGTGTGTATGCGTGTTCCCCCCCCTTTTTTTTTTTTGCTTTCCTATGTTCGTGGTTCATTCGTGGGATACGGGGTCCAGCCTTCTTTTGCTGGCTTTTCTTTCACTTTGCTTGGTGTCTACTTTTCTGCGCGCGTGGTGGTTAGAGTAGGAAAAACTGGCCATTGCGTCATATTATTCTCACTGCCGTGCTTTTTTTTTTAGTGCGTGTGCGTGTGCGTGTGCGTGTGCGTGTGCGTGTGCGTGTGCGTGTGCGTGTGCGTCTGTGCGGGGGGGGGGTGGGAAGTCGGAATGCATCCTGCCCTTCTGCCTCGGATCATCTCTGCGGTCGCCCTTTGTCGCCGCCAATAGCGCGGATTTTTTATGTCTTTCCGCTGCCCCCCAAATCTGCTTTTATAATGCCTTGCCACGAAACCTGAGCGTCGAGGGCCCACCCAGCCAAGGCAAGTCTCCCTTTCCCGGACGGAATGCTGGGTAAAGGCGCTTTCAGCACCCCCGCACCCACGCACACACGCTTTTTTTTTTGTGTCAGCGTTTAGTGGTCAGGGATGCACCAGAGTCGTCTCTTTTTCTGTGAATGAATGTATTGGCTACGTGGGCAGATACCCATGGATGTGGCTGCAAAGACAACGCGTTGTGCGATACCAAAT